CTTGTCTTATTTCAATACGTCCCTGCCCGCCCCCTGGACCGCGCACATCCATGATTTGCGCGCCCCCTCTTGGACGCCCCCCTCGTGGCCGCCCCCGAGCCATGGGACAGCCGGGTCCTGAGGGAACCAGGCCCTGGGGCTTTTCACCGCTCTCGGCCGCTTCGGGGCCCTCCTGGGGTCTCCCAGGACTGTCAGATACCGGCTCGGGAGGAAGAGCTTGCCCTGGGGGCAGGCCCCGGGGTCCAGCACCCGCTTCCCCCACGCTAAGAGGAGAAGCCAAGGCCAGACAGGGAGTCTATCACTAGGGAACAGTGAGCACCCCCTCCCCGATGGGGAAGAAGGAAGGGTTGGAAGAGGGAGCGCCCAAAACCACTCACGACCAGAGGACAGGTGGGAGTTGTATACAGCCGCTGGAGCATCGATGTGTGCTGCCTCTGGAGGCCCATGCTGGGGGTCCTCTGGGAGCCCTTTTGGGCCGTCTCCAGGGCTAGGTCGGGCATGTCCCCCTACAGGCTGATTCTGGAGGAAAAAACAAATAGTCAAATAATATTCAAAAATGATATATAAGCGGCGTCCGGGGCCCCGCGGCCCAGGGTCGCACGCTTTCCCCTCCCCCCCCCCCCCCCCCCCCCCCCCCCCCCCCCCCCCCCCCCCCCCCCGTAACCGAATTTGCCCCCTGAGCTGCGGGGGCCTTTTTTGGCATCCAGGGGCATGTTTTCGGAGTCCCAGAACTTTTGTCCGCTTCCCCGAGCCGTCCACCTAGGCTTCTGGAGACGGCAAGAAGCCGCCAAGACGGCCCAAGAGCGCTCCAAGCCGCCCAAAATGGCCCCATGATCGGCCCAAGAGGCCCCCAAGATGCCCCAAGGTCGCTCCGCGAGGATCTCCAAGAGATCCCCAAGACGCCAAAATCATGAATTTTCATTGTGTGTTTCCAATATTTGTTGCTTCTCACCTTTTCGAGCGGCCGCCACTCCAAGACTGCCCAAGAAGTCTCCAACGTCGCCGAGAGAGGCCCCCAAGAGGCCCCCAAGACAGCCCAAGAGGGCCACATGATCGACCCAAGAGGCCGCCAAGACGGCCCAAGAGGGCCTGAAGAGGGCCTGAAGACGGCTAAAAGATGGGCCCAAGATAGGGAACGCGAACCGTTCTTTTGAGTTTCCCGCCCCCAGAGACCCCCAGGAGGCCCCAAGAGGCCCCCAAGTGGCTCCAAGAGGCTCCAAAGAGGCCCCAAAGATGCTTAAGAGAGGTCCGACAAGCTGCACAACGAGCGGCCGACACTTCAAGACTGCCCAAGAAGCCTCCAACGTGGCCCCAAGAGACCCCCAAGAGCCCCCCAAGAGGCCCCCAAGACAGCCCAAGAGGGCCACATGATCGGCCCAAGAGGCCGCCAAGACGGCCCAAGAGGGCCTGAAGAGGGCCTGAAGACGGCTAAAAGATGGGCCCAAGAGAGGGAATGCGAACCGCTCTTTCGAGTTTCCCACCCCCAGAGACCCCCATGGGAGGCCCCAAGAGGCCCCCAAGTGGCTCCAAGAGGCTCCAAAGAGGCCCCAAAGATGCTTAAGAGAGGTCCGACAAGCTCCACACCGCCCCCGTGGAGGCTTCAAACCTGCTTCTAAAAGGCCCCCCGAGAGGCATCCCACGAGATCATCCCAGCGAACATCCGAGAAGCCTCTAACCCACAACCCAGACACGGTTGCGGGATGGGCCCAGAATTGCGACCTTTGGTTCGCATGGGGGGTTGGGGGGGCCTTGAGGGCTCTAAGAGGGTTCAGAAGGGGCCCCGGACCCCTCCACAGGCTCCCAAGCTGGCCCAAGATATTCCCAGGAGGCTCCAGAGAGCCCCCCAAATGCCCGAACAGAGGCGCTCTCTGCCCCAACAGGCCCCCAGGAGGCCCCAAGAGACTCCCAGGAGGCCTCCATGACGCCCCAAAAAGCTACCAAAAAGGCACCAGAAAGACCCGAGAAGCTCCCGAGAACCCCCCACCGAGCTCGCAGGAGGGCCTCCACACAGACCCTCAGAAAGAAGCCCGCCAGAAGCCCTTCGTCCTCCATGCTCCGGAACAGCCCTTCGGAACACGTGGCCCTGGCTGCACCCCCCGACCCGCCCACCCAATGTCGAGGCCCGAGGACGCCCCCATGACGCCCGCAAGACGCTCCAGAAACGCACACGTGGATCAGGTGACAATGATGCTGATCGTCGGTGGTCCGTCGTCGTCGTCGTCGGTCGTCGCTGGTATGCTGCAGGCCAAACCCTTCCTTGAACTTCGCAGTATCCGCCCGAAAATCACGCATGGGTGAAAGGGAGGAACCCGGCAGACCACATGGAGAAGGTCCCATGGAAATTGACACCGTCTTCGGAGTCGACTAGAACCTAAGCGCGCGCGAAGCGCGCGCTTGGTTCTACTGAAAAAATAGTCGACACATCGCCCCCTGACTATTTTTGAACTATTTTTTGATCTTCCTGAAGAGGGGCACGCTCGATGTAACTCCAGGGCCAGTGGCAGGGGAGATCGGCGCAAGTCCCTCGATCTGCGCTCTCCCGTGGATCGGCGGCGCGCGCCGAGGGGGGTCAGTATGTTGTTTAACCGATCCCTATCCCCGTCCCCATACACATCTCCATACACATCTCGACCCCCACCCCCATACACATCTCCATACCCATCCCCATACACATCTCCATCCCCATACACATCTCCGGGTACCTATCCCTATCCCCATCCCCATTCTCATCTCCATACCCATCCTTTATCCCCATCCCCATACACATCTTGAGCCCCACCGTCTCACCACCCTCAATGGGAGATGTTATCCCCTCGACGCCCGAAGAAAGCAGCCTATAGCTGCCCATTAGGGGGGCAGATCGGCCGGTGGGGCCCAGCCCTCGCTGGTGGGGATGGGGATCCGTTGAACGATGCTCGGGGGGGGGGGGCTCGGAGGGGGCCCGGCTCGCCCTGCCGACACGTCTCTGGGAGCGGCCTTCGGGGGAGTGACCTGTGAAGAAGCAGGATGGAGGGGAGGGGGAGGGGGACAAGGAGGAGGAGGAGGAGGAGGAGGAGGAAGAGGAGGAAGAGGACGAGGAGGAGGATGAGGAGGAGGAAGAGAAGAAGGAGTGAGGGAGGAGGAGGAGTGGGAGAAGGATGATGATGATGATGATATGATGATGATGATGATGATGGATGATGATGATGATGTGATCATGATCATGATAATGATCATGATAGATCATGATCATGATCATCATGATCATCATGATCCTCATGATCATCATGATCATGATGATGATGGTGATGGTGGTGATGATGATGATGATGTGATGATGATGATGATGATGATGATTTGATGATGATGATGATGATGATGATGATGATGATGATGATGATGATGATGATGATGATGATGATGATGATGATGATGATGATGATGATGACGATAGTGACGAGGAGGACGGAGGAGGAGGAGGAGGAGGAGAGGAGGAGGGTTGGAGAGGAGGACGGGAGGGAGAGGGAGGAGAGGAGAGGGAGGAGGAGGGAGGAGGGAGGGGAGAGAAGAGGGAGAAGAGGAGAGAAGAAGAAGAGAGAGGGGGAAGAGGGAGAGAGGGAGAAGAGGAGGAGGAGGAGGAGGAGGAGGAGAGGAGGAGGAGGAGGAGGAGGAGGAGGAGGAGAGGAGGAGGAGGAGGAGGGGTGGAGGAGGGGGAGGAGGACGGGGGGACTCTGGCCCTGGGAGGGGAGGAGGGGGGGGGGGGGGCGGGGGCGAGCCCTGCGAGAGGGCGGCGGTGGCCCTCCTCGCAGGGCCTGCGGGGGTGCCTCGTGAGGCCCCCCCCATGGCCTCCGGAGAGGCCGGCGGCACGGCCTCTCGAGGCGCGGGGCTCGCTTCGACTCCTCCGATTCGATCCGATTCCGATGGTTCGATCCGACTCCGATCCGATGGGCTCTCCTGCGACTTCTCCGCGCGTGGCGCAGGCAACAAGAGCAGGAAGAACTTCGGAGGAGGCGGGGGGGAGTTTCTCAGAAGACCTCGGGCCCTATGAGCCTTCTGGGGCGGCCCGCCCCCACTGCTGGGCCTGTTTTCCACCACCACCACAAGTTGGAGGGGGGAACGAGGTGGAGGAGGAGGAAGCGGAGGAGGAGGAGGAGGAGGAGGAGGAGGAGGAGCCCCTCCCCTTCCTACTTTTGGTGGCGGCCGCGGAAAACGAGCCCTCCAGAGAAGGCGGGGGGGAGCTCCTCGGAAGACCTCGGGCCCTCCGGGCCTGCTGGGACGGCCCGCCCCCGCTGGGGCTGGAGGGTTTCTCCGAAGGGCTTAGGCGACCCGTTCTCCTCCTCCTCCTCCTCCTCCTCCTCCTCCTCTTCCTCCTCCTCCCCATCCACCCTCTCCCACATACGGCAGCGGTGGTGGAAAATGGGCCCATCAGTGTTCGGTGTGAGCATGTCCTTCCGAAGTGAGGTTTGGCCTCGAAGCGCGCGCGCAGAGCTTTCGGCTCGAAGAGCAGAACACGGCGCAGACATAGGCCGTCGGAGGTCCTCGCGGGCTTCTCGGATCGCTGGGCCCCTCCCGGCGGCGCCTCCAGCGCCGCGCGGGGGGTCCAGCGCCGATGCAAGGAGTCCGCGCGGATTTCCGAACACCTATATGTATATATATATATGCTTATATATATATATATATATACATATATATATATATGTGTTTAAGTCGGGCCTGTCCCTACAGGGGGAATATTCAAAAATGGTCAACAATAGTCAGGGGATATTGATTGATTATTTTTTGACCATTCTGGAGTATTTTTGTTTTTTTCATTTTTGGTCGAAAGTCCCCCTGTAGGGGGGGGGCACGCCCGACTTAGATATATGTGCATGCAGTTTCAGTGGTGAGGAATCAGGCGCCGAAGCCGCGCACGCAGAGCTTCTGGTCGAGGCTGCGACTGGCTTGACACGAGCCCGCTGCCACGTCGCGCGGGCTGGCGCTCGCCTCGCGGGCGGCCCCCCCCCTCTCCCCCGCGGCGCGAGGGGGCGGGGGGAGGCACCGTGCAGACCATGGCGCCGGAGGTCATCCTGGCGCGCGGGGACGACTTCGACGCGTCGGACCCGAACCAGGTGGAGTCCAGGGGCCCGGTGGGGCGGTCATGGGGCCCTCCTCCCTCCCCGGTTCCCGTTCTCATCCCCCTGCCCTCATCCCCCCCCCCCACCCACACCTGGCCCCCCGAAGGGCCACGCCCCCACCCGCCGCGCTCTCAAGACGGCCGCCCCCTCGCGCGTATTGCGCGCGTCTCTCGTCTCGTCTCGCGCCCACACCTCCCTTCTCCCTTACGGCCCCCTACCTCCCCCCCCTGACCCCTTCCCTCTCTCTTCATCCCGTCCTCCCCGCCCACCCTTTCTCTCCCCGCCCGCCCCCCTTCCTCCCTCACTGCCCGTGGCCCCCCCCCCTCCTCCTCCCACTCTTTCCCTTTCCCCCCTCCCCTTCAACGAGCAGCGCGTCTGGGACCTGACCTCGACACTGATCAGCACGACGGAGTCGAGCACCACGACGTTGAGCAGCATGACGGGATCCGGCACGGCCGAGTCGAGCGCCAGGTCGTTGACCATGCCCGACGAGGTTGAGCACCACGACCCTGAACAGCACAACGGGAGCCAGTACCGGCAGTCTCACGCCTATTAGTGAGACGAGCATTGCAACGAGCACAACGTGCTTGAGCAGCGCGTCTGGGACCAGAACCTCGACTCTGATCAGCTCGACGGAGTCGAGCGTCACGACGGGATCCGGGACGACCGAGTCGAGCGCCACAGCGTTGATGAGCACGACGGAGTCGAACACCACGACGCTGAGCAGCATGACGGGATCCAGCACCAGCAGTTTTGCATCTACGAGTCAGACGGGCAGTGCAGCGAGCACCTCGCCTTTGAGCAGCACGTCTGGGGCCAGCACTTCTACAATTGGCAGCACGACTGCCTCGAGCGGAACGAGTTCCGCCTCGAGTGCCGCGCGGCTGTGCACTCCTATGGGTGACAATATTTCGGCATTGAGCGGCATGCCCGAGAGCACGAGCTCGACTTTGAGGCCCACCATTGGGACGCGTACGACCGTTACCACTACGTCGCTGACCACCATAGCTGGCCTCAGCCGCGGAACGGTGAGCAGCTCGTCCAGGAGCAACAGTTGGACCCTGACGACCACGGGTGAGGCGAGTACTCCCCCGTCCGTTCGCACACCGACGCTGAGCAGCACGTCGTCGACCATCACGGCGGGCACCAGCAGCACATTATTGACCAGCACCATCGGGCGCACCATCGCCTCGACGTGCACCAGCGGGATGGGCACTGCCGACAGCACCAGGCAGCTGAGCTGCACGATGGGCGTTGTCACCTTGACGATGTGCACGTCGAGGAGCACCAGATCGAGCACCATGCCGCTGACCACCATGACTGGCACCAGCCGCGAACGGGGGAGTAACACGACCGGGGGGGCAGCAGCTCGACCCTGACGACCATGTGTGGGACGTCCGCGGCCCGGAGTTTTGTCCCGGGCTTTTACCAGGCCCATGGCCCAGTACCTCCGCGACCTGCATGGGCCCACGGGGGGGTGGGATGCGTGTCTCGGCTTGAGCTGCAAGTGCCGCGCTGGCCCAACGGAGGTGGGATGCGAGCGCCACCCTCACTCCCACGAGGCCGCATTGGCCCCACTTGGGGCGGCATTCGAGCTCCGACCAGCGCTTCGGGGAACACCAGTTCCACCCTCACGTGCAGTGATATCCTCCTCCTCCGACCGCCCGTCTCGCCCTTCATCAGGCCTGATCGCCCGCTAGCCCCTTGGCGCCTCATGCGAGCGACCGAGCGCGTCCAGGTGCTCACGAGTAGCACTCCAGAGACACCTGCACTTCTGAGGCCTGCGCGAACAGTGGGCAATTTTCCGCGGCTGCCACTCTTTCTCGGGCCGCAGCGGAGGATGCCCCAAGGCGGCGCCTCTCTTCGCTGGGCGCTGGGGCGCGCACGCCAACGCGCGCCTAAAGCAGGCCAGCCACAACTGGGGGAGCTGTGGTCCTTATCCCCCTGGGGGACCCATCGATTTCGACACCCCTCTCGAGAGATCGCCGATGCGATGGGTTCCCCCAGGGGGGTAAGGACCACAGCTCCCCCAGTTATGGCTGGTCGGTAAAGCCAACGCCCCTCTTCGCACGGTGGCGCGCACGGGCCCGCGGACCCTTCGCGCCCGCGCCAAGGGGGAGGGGGCGGGCACGCGTGGCTCAGGGGCCCAGACGACGTTGCCGTCCGATGTGTTGCGCTCTCTCCCCTCCCCTCCCCCTCCCTCCTCCCCCGTCCATCCTTCTCTTCCCCCCCCGCCCCCGTCCTTCCCATCACCCCCCCCTCGTCTTTTCCTTATTCCCATCACTCCTTTTTCTCCCCCCATTTCCCCCCTCCCCCCCTCTCTCTCTCTCTTCCCCCCTCCCCTTCCTCCTCTTCCAACCCACCACCTTCCACCTCTCACCTGGGATCCTGACTCTGCCATGTGTTCGCGACGGACGTATTCGCCCGTGTTCGGGCTCTGGGGACCACTACGGATCGATCCAGCTATTAAACATGCCGCATCTAAACACACATGGTACATGGGGTCGTGGACGTGGTCGTTGGCGATGTTGCAGTCGTTTTGCGACGGCGGATCTCAGGGCCCCCAGCTCTCCCACCCTTCCTCCTCTTCTTCCATTTGTTCTTTGCCTCCCTGCCTCGTCCTCGCCCCTGCTCGCGGCAGCTGGCGCGCGTCAGGCGTGGGTGTCCTGGGCCTTTCGAGGCCTGGTTCGGGAAGGGGAGGAGGAGGAGGAGGAGGAGGAGGAGGAGGAGGAGGAGAAGGAGGACGTGGAGGACGAGGGCGAGGACGAGGACGAGGTGGAGGAGATCTCGATACCGCTGCTTGTCCTGGAGAGTCCTCGTCACCACTGCCAGATACTCTCTGAGTTTCTGGTCGGAACGCATCCCTGGAGAGGTCCGGGGAGCAGCGGCATCGGTACATTTTTTTGCCTTGGGGTGAAGTGGGTCAGCCGGTACGTTTTTGTGCTTACGCTTGCCCGTCATTTCCTTCTCTTGGCCCTCCGCACATCGCCTCATCGTGCCCCCTGCTGGAGGGTTCCTCCGAAGGGCTTTGTCCCCCCCTCCTCCTCTCCTCCTCCCCTCTTTTCCTCTTCCGCCATCCTCCATCTCCTCCTCCCCCCCTCCCTCCCACCTCCCCCTCCACCTCCTCCTCCTCCTCCTCCTCCTCCCCCTCCCCTCCTCCTCTCCTCCTCCATCTCCTCCTCCTCTCCTCCTCCCCCCCACCTCCCCCTCCACCTCCTCCTCCTCCTCCTCCTCCTCCTCCTCCATCTCTCCTCCATCTCCTCCACCTCCCCCTCCTCCACCTCCTCCTCCTCCTCCTCCTCCTCCTCCTCCTCCTCGGGTCGCCTACGGCCCCGGTGGAGACCGTGCACCCCCGGCCTGAGGCGGCCTCCAAGCTGGGATGAGGGGGCCGAGTTTGGGCGTGCGCAGCTAGGAGGTGCTCGGGCGTCGTGACATGTTTTTGTTGTCCTGAGCGCGAGGTCTGCTCCGAATGTGTTGCCGCAGCATGCCCTCGGATTCGCATGGCAGTGCCTGGCAGGGGAAGCGGCCAGGCCTCGTGCTGTTCAGACGTCTTCGAAGCGTCACGGCCTGTGTGCCTCATGCTTCGCTGCCTGATCGCCATGGCCCGCTGAATGCATGAAGTAAGCGTTGCATCCCATGGCTCCGACGTGTTGACATATGGATAGCGACTTAAGTAAATACTGGCGTCGACCATATTCATTCAGGATTTGAGTAAGTGGAAGTGTCTTTCGATTTCTGTGTGGCCCTGAGACAGTTTATTATGTTGCGTTGCTCATGTAGCGTCTTCGCAAACGACACCAAACAAGAGGGACAACCATCAAAAAGGTGGGCCGATCATAAGGATCTGGAAATGAATATTGATGGACGCTGGGAGGAGATCGAGTACAAGAAACGACCCTTTGGCATTCAGAAGTACAAGGCCGGGAAGGACGGAAAGGGTTGCCGAGTTACACTTGTCAGGACATGTTTGCCGCTTGTGATTGTTCTTGCGGGCAAGACTTGTACCCATGTCCATTGCGTCTTGGACTTTCTGGGAAAGGGCGTTGACAGTGGATATGGATACACATCTAGCCTCTAGGGGCCAGATGTTCATCCATGTCCGTTGCGCCCCTGGCTTCTGGGGAAGAGAGCCCGAAACTCTAAGGCGCAGTGGATTTGTTTGTTCTTCTCTCTCTCTCTCTCTCCCTCCCTCCATATCGATCGAAGACGCCTACGGCGAATCACCGCCGCCCCCTGCCTTTTTGGAAGCGCCTATGTGGCCGAACGCTGAGGCCAGACCTGCCAAGCTATCGGACCACGTGTTCCCCGAATCGGTTTGGAAAGCCTTCGGGGAACACGTGGGCATCTTGAAGGTCATCTTGGCCGTCTTGGAGGCCTCTTGGGCAAGCTTTGGGCGATCTTTGGGGCTTTTTGGGCCGTCTCGGGCCAGCTTCGAGCCAACTTCGGCCATCTTGGTGGGTTCCTGGCACGTCTGAAGCCGTCGGAAGCCGTTTGGGGGGCCTCTATGGGCCGACTTGGGGCCCGCTTGGAATGCTCCAGGGCCGTCTTGGAGGCCATCTTGGGCGTCTGGGAGGCCATCTTGGGCGTGTTGGAGGCCTCTTGGGCCCTCTTGGGGCCCTCTAGGGGCCATCTTGGAGGCCACTTGGGCCATCATGGGGCTCTCTTGGGGGCCTCTTGGGCGATCTTGGGGGCTTCTTGGGCCGTCTTGAGCCGTCGGAGAGCCGAAAAGGCGCAAATGCCAAAATCCTTCAAAACCAAGGAAAATCAATGATTTTGGCCTCTTCGGACTCTCCTGGAGGACCTCTTGGAGGCCTCTTGGGCCGTCTGGGAGGCCTCTGGGGGGCCTCTTGGGCCGTCTTGGGCCGTCTTGGACTCTCTTGGGCAGTTTTGGAGGCCGTCTTGGACCATCTCGGGCGGATTTGGAGGCCATCTTGGGCCATCTTCGCGATTTTGTGAGGATGTCCCGAGCGAAACGGCCGTTTTTGGGCATTGACAGACGCATTTTGGGAAACGCGCGGGTGGCCGGCGGGACGGGCCGAAACCCACTGGGGAGTTCTTTTAGAAAAAGAACCAAAACCAAAACCGAATCATCCAGCACGCCGTGCACCCCTGCAAGCAGGGGGCGGCGGATAATGGTGGCCTTCGGCCCATCCCGCCACCGTGCCTGGTTTGTGGTTCACAGGCCTCTACGATGTCAGTTGGGATGTCGCGTGGGGGCCGTTTGGAGGCCTCTTGGGGCGTCTTGAGGGCCTTTTGGAGGTCTTTTATGGCCTCTCGGGGGCCTCCTGGAGCTTTCTTCTCTCGGGGCGGGAAGCTCGAATGTTCATGTTTGTAGTCCCCCTCTTAGACCCCTCTTGAACCCATCTTTGGGTTGCTTGGGCTGCCCTAAGGCTGTCCTGGGCAGTCTTGGGGACCTCTCGGGTCGTCCTGCCTGCGGCCCTCTTGGAAGCCTCTGTCAAGAGAGGAAAAACCACCCGTACTGGACAATTGGCGTTTACTAAATGGCCTTGGGCGTGTACTTAACAGCCCTGCCCTGTTTGATGTTTTCTTTAGATGCGTTTACTAAACGGCTTCGCGTGTCGGGGTGGTTATTATCGGGTGGATTTTCTGCCCTCTATTCTGGGGCCGTCTTGGGGCGGTCTTGGAGGCCTCTCGGGCCGTCTTGGAGCGTCCGAAAGCCGAAAGGGCGACAACGCCCCCCCCAAAAAAAAGAAAGAAAGGGCGACAACGCAAAAACCAACAAGCATAGCCCCTAGAGAAGCAATGGCCTGTGCCTCTCGGGGGGCTCTCTTGTGAGGCCTCGCGGAGCTCTGCTCCGGGGCGTCGTGGCGCCCTGCTCGGCAGCCGTGGGGCCACACCTTCGGCACCTTGGGGCGATCCTTTCGGCGCCTCGGGCTCCTCGCTTGGACCGCCTTCGGGGGCCTCCTGGGGCCCTCGTGGCCCGCCCCGAGAGCGTCGCGCGACGGGCCGCGACGAGCCCCAGGGTGGGCACACGCCAAGGCCAAGAAGCTTCGGAAATCGGGGGCCGGGGCCCCTCGTTGGCTCCTCAGGACTGAGGGCCATCTCAAGCGTCTTGGAGCGACGTCTCGGGCTCCTGGCGTGGACCGCCCTCGGGGGCCTCCTGGGGCCCTCGTGGCCCGCCCTGGGGGCCCTCGCGGGCGGATCCCGAGAGCGTCGCCGCCACGGGCCGCGACGGGCCCCAGAAGGGGGGCACACGCCGAGGCCAAGAGGACTCGGAGATTTGGGGGGCCGGTGGCCCCTCCGCTGGCTCCTCGGGGCGGAGGGCTGGGGCGCAGGGGATTCGTCGACTAGACGTAAGAGTGACCTTTCGCCAGAGTGACCTTTGGTGCGGGCCCAACGGGGTCCCCCGATCGCCGAACGCGATGCGATAGTAGCATCTTGCGCGCTTGTGTTTGGTCCCCCCGCGGTCCCCCAAAAGCCGCGCACGAAAGGGCACTCTTGCCCAGGGTCACTTTTGCGTGTAGTCGAATTTGGCAAATCCGAGGCGGGACTCTACCAATGACCACCGCCTGGAATCTCAAGTTTCGGGGACCTCGGCAGGCGGTGGATGTGGACACGTTCGGGCCCCCAGGGGCCAACATCTATCCATGTCCACCGCCCGCCGGGGCACCAATGATGTCGGTTGCTAGGCGGTGGATATGGATCTGCACGAACGGGATGGGTACGGAAAGAATGGGGACAATGCCCAACAGCGGACCCTGTTCATTTTGAACAGGACTCGCTGTCCACGCCGCCGCGGCCTGTGTCCATTCGAGACAGAAGGCCGCCTGTCCAACAGCGGCCGCTGTTGGTTTGGGACAACATCTGTTGTTGGGCATTGTAGCCATTTTTTCCATACCCATTTCGGGCGTCCAAAATGGATCAATCTCCGCCTCGCAGCCAAAGGACCTGAGGGCATGCCCACTCCTTTACCAGTGCCGAGGGGTCTCTTCGGGGCCGGGGCCCCCAAGTTCCAAGTCTTCAATTGGCCTTGGCGCGTGCCCCCTTGCGGCCTGTCGCGGCCCGTCGCCTGGCCCCGGCCCCCGATTTCCGACGTGGATACATGTTGGCCCCCAGGGGCCCGAAACTTGACATTCCAGGCGGTGGTCACTGATAGAGTCCCGCCTCGGATTTGCCGAATTCGACTGCACGCAAGAGTGACCCTGGGTAAGAGTGACCTTTGGTGCGCGGCTTTTGGGGGACCGCGGGGGGACCAAACACAAGCGCGCAAGACGCTACTATCGCATCGCGTTCGGCGATCGGGGGACCCCGTTGGGCCCGCACCAAAGGTCACTCTGGCGAAAGGTCACTCTTACGTCTAGTCGACGAATCCCCTGCGCCCCAGCCCTCCGCCCCGAGGAGCCAGCGGAGGGGCCACCGGCCCCCCAAATCTCCGAGTCCTCTTGGCCTCGGCGTGTGCCCCCCTTCTGGGGCCCGTCGCGGCCCGTGGCGGCGACGCTCTCGGGATCCGCCCGCGAGGGCCCCCAGGGCGGGCCACGAGGGCCCCAGGAGGCCCCCGAGGGCGGTCCACGCCAGGAGCCCGAGGCGATCGAAGGATCGCTCCAAGACGCTTGAGATGGCCCCCAGGCTCAGACGGCCCAGGAGGCAAGCACGACGCTCCAGGAGGCCTCCAGGAAGTCTCCCAAGAGGCGGGCATCTCGAGCCCTCGGCCCCGAGGGACCCCAGGAAACCCCAAGAAGCCCACAAGAGAGGCCCCAAGAGGTCACCAAGAGGCCCCAAGAGGCTCCCAAAAGGCCCCCAAGAGGCCCCCAAGAGTCCCCAAAACTGCCCCCAAGAGAGGCCCCCGAGAGCGCTCCGAAGAGACCCCAAGAAGCAACTCTGACCCACAACCCACGCACGGTGGCGGATGGGCCGAAGGCGATCTCTCTCTCTCTCTCTCTCTCTCTCACTGATTGCCGATTTTCACACGGGCCAAGCCAAAACCACATCCATGGCCCTTGCTTTACGAAGTGGGTCGAAGCGTCTGCAGGCCGTATCCGATCCCCTCAAGCAGTGGCGAGGTGTCTTGATTTGCCTATAGGCCCACCGAGGACTGGTCTAGCAACCTTTGGTTGTTTGCACGAATTGGTTTTAGAGCATGTCTGTCTGAGGCCGTCCTGTTTTCAGACATCGGCTTCATGCTCGGAGAAATGACGGTTGCTGGTGTTGTTATCATAATGTTCTTTTGTTCTAGAAAAATAACGTGGCCGGCTTACAGGAATGTTGGGACGGTCGGTCCCTGCTAAATTCTCTCTTCCCGTGCCTCTTCCGTGCCTTGTCATCGTCTCTCGAGTCTCACGGGCTTGCAATGTGTGGTCCTGCAGAGGGCCACCTTTGCAATGTTGATGCGTCTCATATGGAAACACGCGGGTCGATCATGTTGGTTTGATATGCGCGTACGTCTATCGTGTTTGTTCATTGCGAGGATGTCATGCACATTGCCTGATTTACGTTGGGAGCGCACGGGTGTCTGATCAAACCGTAGCAAGGCCAGCAGGTTTGCACCAGGCAGCGCAAGTCGTTTGCCACCTTCAGAACCGAGGGGAGACGGATCACAGCGCAGTAACACAAGTGTAGTTGCAGGCGGAAATGCGCCATATTAGAATTGATTCCTTCCCTCTTCCCTCCCTCGCACCTTTCCGTCTTACCCTCTGGAGACGCAGGTCGTTTCGCAAGGGTCACGGCCAGACAAGCGTTCGGTCTGTTCCTCGGCCCTCTTGGGGCCTCCCGAGGCCGTCTGTGGGCCTTCCTGGGGGCTCTTGGGCAGTTTTGAATTCGCTTGGGCCATCGTATGGCTGCCTGGGCTATTTTTGCGTTGGCGCCGTCTGGGGACCATACTGGGTGATGTTGGGGCCTTCGACACAATTCCGATATTGTTGTCGCGCCTTTATCCCTGTGATTCTGGCCTCTGGAGGTTCTCTTAAAGCCCTGCACAGGCATCTCGAGCCGTCCCTGAGGAGTTTGGGAACCTTCATATCGGCCCTCATGCAACTTGCCGTCTCGGGGCCGTATGCAAGCCTTGTTGGGCCGTCGTAGGTTCAAGCAGGTGGGGAATGGAACGCAGTCGATATATGCGGCGCGGCCCTTGAGGGAGGGGGGGTTACAGGACCATTGACATTTCGTCACGTCGCGTATAATCTCCAAATATTAAGTGCATGTTGCAGGGGGCTTCGGTTGGTCCGACTGTGCTATTGTAGTCAAGCTCAACAGCATTCTTAGGTCGGGTCACTTGTCAGCCAAACTAGCGTATGGTAGTGCCATTTTTCAGCTCTGCTCCACATACACTCCCCTTCTGCCTTGCGATGCAGTGGTTGCCCACGAGGACGTCGACGAACCTGGCATCGACAGTAGGGAAAGGTGGAGGTGCGTTCGCAACAACTATGCCGACATCGGCTACGCGCTACGCCTGAATTGTGCGGGCAAGATTTATATCCATACCCAGTGCGTCTTGGACTCTCCTTGGAAGGGGCGCCACAGGGCCGGGGCGCACTAGACACGGAGAACAACATGGCCTCGGGGAGCAGACTTTTATCCACATCCAGTGCGCCTCGGGTTTTCTGGGGAAGGGAGCCCGAAACTCCAAGCTGCAGTGTAGCTGGACACAAGTCCTGCCCGCAAACTGGCCCCCTGTCCTGCTCCTGCGGCGCAGCCATGGCTGTGGACTCCTCCTGTCTCGCGGGGGGGGGGGGGGGGGGCGGAGGGCGCCCAGAGCGCGCACAAGTCTGGGTCCTCTTGGGGCCCTCTTGGGCTTTCTCGTCGACCGACAAACAAACGACACTGCCCCATCCCCCACCTACAGGTGGGGGCCCGTGCCAAGAAACACTCTGCTTGCCTCCAGTGTGCCCTGGGTTTCTTGGTTTTCGATGTTTGCGATGGAAAGCGTGACGTTCCCACAGCTGCGCTACGGCCCTCCATGTTGCGCCACGGCCCATGCACCACGCAAAAGCCCACGCCAGATGTCCCAGTAAACGCTGAGCCCCCTGGGGGCGCAGGTGGGGTGGTGTCGTTTGTTTTCTGGTCCATCTTGGGCTAGCACACTTACGTTGAATAACATTAGGAGACGCAGACATATTTTCTCCTAGGTTCCGCGCTGATATCTTGGATCGGCTCCGCTCGCGCCGCCCCTGGCGCGCCCCGCGCAGACCTCCGCGAAAGCATGTTTGTGCACTGTTTGTTCCTCTGCTGCGATCCTGTCGTGCTGCGCACCCCAGTGGTCCCAAGGGGTCGGCGGGGCTCGGGGAGGATGGGCGGGGCGGACGGGTCGAGCAAGCGCGCCCCAGCAGCTTCGCCGGGCGCCCTGCTCGCAGGACGGCATCCCGATATCCGGGCGACCCTCTCGGGCAAGCCTTCCTGGCAGGCGCCGAGCGCGCAGCGCGCGAGGTGGTGTCAGGGGCAGCGTTGCGGGGGGGATAGGCTCGAGTCAGGCGCGTCCCTTCACAGGAGGAGTATTCCATACTAGGCAAACTGATACTACGAGGACGGTTTCTGACTACTTCTACTCTCTTTGAAGAAAGTATGTGTTGTTCTTGTTTTCTTCCTCCAAACTCCGCCTGTAGGAGGACATGCCCGACCTGAGGATCGGCTCAGGAGGGAGCGCATCGACCCCGAATCGCCCACTCGCCGCAGATCCGGGGGCCCGCTGGGCCCCACCTCGCCCAGGAGCCATGTCGCCGATCTGTCGTCGAAGTATCGCCTATCTTCCTCCTCCTCCTCCTCCTCCTCCTCCTCTTCCCCCCCCCCCGCCCTCCTCCTCCCTCCTCTCTCGTCCTCCTCCCCTCCTCCTCCTCCTCCTCCTCCTCCTCCTCCTCCTCCTCCTCCTCCTCCTCCTCCTCCTCCTCCTCCTCCTCCTCTTCCTCCTCCTCCTCCTCCTCCCTCTCCTCCTCCCTCCTCCTCCCCCCCCTGAGCCGGTCCCCCCCCGATTGTTGCCCCTCCAGGTACGAGGGGGAGGAATAAGAGGATCCGATGGGGAGGGGGGGAGAGCTTGGGGGAGGGGAGGCGAGAGTAAGCTAGGTGCGCTTGCGCCACATGTAACACGCGGCCGCGCCAGCGCGAAAGCGCTCTGCCCAGCGACGGGAGGAGGTACCGATCCTGAAATGTGACCAGCGTTGCAGCGGGATCGCACTTGTGAAGGACCGCGCGCGTATTCCGGTGGAAGAGCACACATGTGCGCACGCAGTTTCGAGATCGCGTGCGCGAGAGCAGTACGCGAGGCAGGCGTGGTTGCACGTCGTAGGATGAGAGAGGAGAGCAGTACTTCAACATGCGTGCTGGTAGAGGGGGTGGGGAAGCGGAGGTAAGGGGAGGAAGGTTTGGGGGTGGACAGAACCCCCAACAGTGACACGTCGATTACTGAATTGTCCGTTTTCGGTTCTCGAGAGGGCGCCGTGGCCGCTATCTTCCACGCTTGCGCCCGCCAGGTTTGGGCCTCAGGTCGTTTTCACTAAACCACGTTTTACTAAAGGGGGGTCTGTCCATCCCCGAAAGGTGACGGAGTTCAGCGCAAACGGGGCTCAGCCAGAGCGCCGGAGCATGCATGATCTTGCCATGCTGGGTACTGGCTGAGCGCGGCTTCGGACTCGGCCGCGGCCAGCGGGTTAGCCGCACATTTTGGTTGGCAAGCTCCCCCCCAAACAAAAAATGTGGCACCGTTGCTTCTAAATCGGTGGAGCCGTGTTTGCGCTGAGCTGGCTTAGTCCCCGCCCGACGGGTGGGTGGTGGGGCATGGCGTTCTCCGCACGGGGGGATGCGGGGCAGATCGAGTGGCGCGTGCGGAGCTCGATGCGTCGGGGAATTCCGGCTTGGCGAAGGTTGATGCCGCGGGCGATATGTATGCATCGTAGTGCGTTGGCGACTCTCGAGACGTTGTCGATCTTCGACTCAGGAAGGGTACAGTTCTTATATTATCGGCCCTTGAAGCCAAACAAAAACTATGCACAGTACCGCGCTGGTGCGAGGCCTGAAGTGAGTTCAATCACAGCACGGTGCATGGGCGCCAGTCTCGTACGCAGGGAACGAAGTTCACAGAAAATGCAAGGAGGGCTGATTTCAGAGGAGGGCGAGTTGAGACAGCGGTAGTTGACCTTCGGCGGGCCCCCTCGTGGCCACGGCTGTTCGGAAAATGCGTGCGTTCGTTTTTTCTCGAAAAGTGGATTTTCTGAATTCCCCCGGCAGGTGTCAAGGAGGAGTGGGTCGTCTTGACCGTGAACGGGCAAGACGTGACCCAGATGGACTTCGACGACATTGTCGACCTCATGGGCGATCGGCTTCTGGACAACTCCTCGCGCGGAGCGTTCGATGGGTCTTTCAGGCGAGGGCCTTAAGCGGCAGGCCTGCCATCAAGCGCGGCTGTCTTGCGACTCAGGGGCGCTGAAGAGATGTGGATGGGGCTGCTCTCGGAGGCCTGGAAATTGACACCAACACCAAGACAGGGGGTTGCCTCCACAGGGGGAAGGTGATCCTAGATTTTCGGTGTTGGTGGTAATAGTTCGGCCACCTTGGAAGTCAGAATATTACCACCATCACCGAGATCGGGATCTTCTTCCCTCGGTGGAGGCACACCGCCGATTTTAGTGTTGGTGCCGATTTCAAGATGATTAAACAAATCTTTCAAAAATAGTCCCAGACTATGTTGGACAATTTTTGAATATTCCCCCTGTAGAGGGACAGGCCCGACTTAAGGCTGGGGACCCTGACTGGCCAGCACCTGGGCACGTGAGGCCTTCCAGAGGGAGCCCCACCAGCGAAGAAGGCCGGCGGAGGCCGGCGGAAAGGACAAGTCGGCCTCCCGAGAGATGTGATGGGTCTGTTTTCCACCACCACCACCACCACCACCACCACCGTAAGGTTGGAGGGGAGGGGGTGTTCGGTCCTCCTCCTCCTCGTCCTCCTCCTCCTCGTCCTCCTCCTCCTCCTCCGCCACCTCCTTCCCCCCTCCGACTCATAGTGGTCGTGGTGGAAAACAGGCCCATCAAGATGGCATTTTTTGGGGGGTCCGGGTTTCTCAGGAGGGAAAGGAGCACACAGGCACAAGTAATCGTCGACTCCCAGGAAAATACAGGAAATAAGTGGGGGGGATGACAGAAACCCAGACAATATGGGAACAGATGGGGATTCTTGTTATTTGTGTGTATTTATTTGTGTGTTTGTGGGCCCCTTCAGCTTCTGGCCGCAAGAAGGCGCCGCAAGAAGGGCCGCTTTGGGCTCGGGAGGGGCTCGGGTGACGGGGCCGTTTCTGAGATCTGTGTTGCCGGGCCTGTTCTGCACCACCACCGCCACAAGTTGGAGGGGAGGAGGGGGAGGGGAAGGAGGAGGGAGGAGGAGGAGGAGGAGGAGGAGGCAGGAGGAGGAGGAGGAGGAGGAGGAGGAGGAGGAGAGGCAGGAGGATGAGGAGGAGGAGGAGGGGAGGAGGAGGGGGAGGAGGAGGGAGGAGGAGGAGGAGGGAGGTAGGCGGAGGAGGAGGAGGAGTGGTGCTGCAGGGGAGAGTAGGGTAGGGTGGTGCTGCAGGGAAGAGTCGGAGGCGCGTCCGGGAGGGGGGGGGAAGCGAGGAGGAGGAGGAGGAGGAGGAGGAGGAGGCGGAGAAGGAGGAGGAGGAGAAGGAGGAGCAGGAGGAGGAAGACGAGGAGGAGGAGGAGGAGGAGGAGATGGTGGAGGAGGAGGAGGAGGAGCAGGAGGTCCCCCTCTCCGTCCAACTTATGGTGGTGGTGGTGGGAGACAGGCCCGTCATCTTGGGGCCTTTTTTGTGGCTGGGGCTCGTCGTGGCCACAGCAGCCCCGACGTTTCTCAATTTTTGCGTCCCGTATGCATCAGCGGGGGCTCATGCCAAGAAACACCCTGCTTGCCTCCGGGGTGCCCTGGGTTTCTTGGGTTTCGATGGTTTTGCTGTGAAAGGCGTGACGTTCCCACACCAAAAATCTATGGGCGTCCTGGGGTCTCAGGGTAGGGTTTCTTGTGGAATGTTTCTTGTGGTCGGGCCCCAACTGTACAGCACGGTGACTTGATCGTGCCCGCGCCTTTTCCTGCAAGCTTGGATTTCCTGCGCGCCCGGTCAGACTCAGAGAAGGGAAAGGTGTCCATATCTCTACCCTTCCCTCGTTTTCCCATTTCTGGGCCTCCTGGGAGATCCTCGTCGCCACCGCTGGATTTGCCTCGAAATCCTGGTCAGAAGGCACCCCAGGAGAGCTCCAGGGAGTAGCGGTATCGGTGCCTTTTGGTTTCCCCACAGACGGACGCGAGCGTTGCCGAAGAGGAATATCATGTCTGGTTGCGGTGCAAGAGTTCTGTAGATGTTTTGGCTCACGTGTGGCCGGTGGTGGGGGGAGCTCTTTGTGTGCCACTATCGTGGTTCACTTCCTGGACGGTGCAGGGCATTTTGTTTTTCGCCCAACCCTCCCGTGTTGGGTTCTCGTTTGGATTCGAACATTGTTGTCGCACACCTTCTCGGCGCTGTCCAACCCTTGGTAAGGAAAATGGAGCGTACACGAAATCCTTTCCAAACGAAAAGGGGGTTGCTTCGATTGCGTAGGTGGTGCCACCTCGCGCGGAGGGATCCGCCGGCCGCGCGTTGCTTTCCATTGATTCCGTGGTAGTTGTCCGTCGTGTTTTGTCATGTTTGCGCGTAGCGTGACATGTCTGTTGTAGTCCCTGGCAGATAGCTACGCAATTGCCGTGCACATGCAAACCGAGTGCTGCCCCAACACGGTTTAAATCCTGCACGAGCTCCAACTTATTTCCGCACGAACGCGAATTGAAACCGACATGAGGCACGAACTGCGCCACGAAATGAGGCACGAAATGAGGCGCGGAATGAGGCACGACATGTGGCACGAAGTTAATTCTGCTCTGCGCTAGCTCCAGCACGAAATGCGCCACGAAATGCCGAACGAAATTGCCCGCACGAAATTGTTGTGCGATTGTCTCAGGCGGTTTCTCGTTTTGGTGGGCGCTTGCATGCGCGGCCGGGCGCTCGCAATCGACTCCGGGGAATCAATTTTGGGGCCTGCTCGTGCTGCCATTCTGGGCGGCAACTCTGGAGCCATTTCGTGCGGGCAATTTTGTTCGGGCCATTTCGCGCGGGCAATCTCGCGCTGCTGCGTCGTTCTCCTGGCCGCCCGTGCTTGGCGGCTGCCGCTGGCGGGCCGGTCTGTGTCTGTTGCGACGGCGACGCTGACGGGGCACAGCGCTGCTGGCGCCGATTTCTCGCAGTGCCGACGGTTCGTGGGAGTGTGGCAACGAGGAGGAGGGGGGCGTGGTCCAACGCCCGCACGGTTGGGCGGGCTGCCAGGGGCGTCCATCCCGCCGTGCCGCAAATCACTGATCACGCGAGTTTGCCCGGGGCGCCCAGGCAAGTTCGTGGCCCATTTCGTGCCCCTCTCATGTCTCCAAGGGGTCATCCTCTGTGGACCCTCTTTTTCTCCCTCTCCTTCTCCTCCCCCCTCTTGCCTGCTGCTGCGCTGCGTCCTGGGCGGCTGCGAACTGTAGAGCTGTCGCGCCTTTCGTGGGCTCCTGGGAGGCACCACGGGATCGTGGAGTAAACGGACCCTGTGTGACCTCGGAGCTCCTCGGGTGGTTGCGACCTGTGCAATTGTCGCCACCATTGTGGGTTCATGGGAAGCACGGCGGAGTCGTGGAGTAAACGGACCCAGCCGAGACCTTGCAGCTCCTTGTATGGCTGTGACTTGTGCAGCGCACGTGCGCTCTGTGCCACATGGCTTTTTCCCAACCCTCTTGTGTTGGGTTCTCGTTTTGAATAGAGCACTGTGGCCGCACACCTTCTTATCCCTCTCCTTCTCCGCCCCCTCTCCCTCCTGGGAGGCACGGCGGAGTCGGGGAGGAAACGGATCATTAGACGTGCTCGGTCATTGGGTGGCTGCGAATTGTGCAGCCGTCGCCACTTCCGTGGGCTCCTGGGAGGCACGGCGGAGTCGGGGAGACGAGCCCAGCCGAAAGTTCGCAGCTCCTTGGGTGGATGCGACTTGTGCAATCGTCACCACTTTCGTGGGCTCTTGGGAGGCACGGCGGAGTCGGGGAGTAAACGGATCATTTGAGACCTCGCAGCTCCTTGGTTGGTTTAGAATTGTTCCATTGTCGCGCCTTTCGTGGGCTCCTGGGGGCACTTCGGAGACAGGGAGTAGACGGGTCAGTTGAGACCTCCTTGCTCCCTGGGTGGTTGCGAATTGTGCAACCGTTGTCACTTCCGTGGGCTCCTGGGAGGCACGGCGGAGTCGGGAAGTTTTCGGACCCAGCCGAGACTTCGCAGCTCATTGGGTGGATGCGAATTGTACAACTGTCGCCATTGTCGTGGGCTCCTGGGAGGCACGGCGGAGACGGGGAGTAAACGGAGCTTTTGAGATCTCGTAGCTCCGTGTGTGATTGCGAGTTGTGCAGTTGTCGCCATTGTTGTGGTCTTTTGGGGGACGCGGCGGATCCGGGGAGTTTTCGGACCCAGCCGAGACGTCGCAGCTCCTTGGGTCGATGCGAATTGTGCGACTGACGCCACTTCGTAGGCTCCTGGGAGGCACGGCGGAGTTGGGAGTAAACAGATCATTTGAGACTTCGCAGCTCCCTGTATGGCTGCGAACTGTGCCATTGTGGTCACTTTCGTGGGTTCCTGGGAGGTCAGCGGAGACGGGGACCACGCGGATCCAGCCGAGAACTCGCAGCTCCTTGGGAGGCTTCGAATTGCGAAGTTGTCTCCATTTCTTTGGGCTCCTGAGAGGCACGATGGAGATGGAGGCAGCCCTGATCGTGCACAGTTTGCGATGTGTTCTTCTGCATGGAGCGCTCATACACAGATTCGCCTCGCGTGGAGACGGGCTTGGGTACGTCTCGGGTAATGTCTGTCGTATGTCCGACTCGATTGTGCGATGTGATGCCTAGCCAAAAACACTGTTGCACACGTGTTGTCAGATCATTATTTTTTAAGTCATGCGCAATTTCGCTATATCTCCTGTCACCCTTGCCCGTCTCTCCGCCCTAGTCACCCACCGCTGCACCCTGGTGAAATCTACGCTTTTCCTCCGTCATACCGCCTCCATCTATAATGATTCTGCTCCACGTAGGTTATGAGTCTTGTTCTTCTAGCGCTGACCTCGATGATTTGAACCCAGCTGTGCAGGGTGACTGGTGACAACAAGGGCAAGGGCCAGGTCTTGCCGAAGGTTGTTAAGGCAGCCGGGTCACATTCAATGGTAGTGTTCAGCAGGGGCAGCAGGTTGGGGTTCAATTCTATGTGGCCAAGAGCACGTGATGGATTCTCTGCTCAGCTGTCCCCTTGCATCAGTAAGGATGGAGAGAGGGGACGTGGGGGGAGGGGGGGGCAAAGGTACTAGTTCAGGTCTTCCTCATTTCTTGCGTTAGCTGCGATTGACGATGTACGATGGCAGTTGCAGTGATTCCTTTTCTTGTGTCCATTGTTACTTCCGCGATTCCCCACCTCTGCAGAAATACCGCTGACATGCAAACACGCGTTGATTGGCTGAGTCTTGCCATCCCTCGAGATGTTGGGGAAGTCTGGGAGGGCGTCACAGGCCACGCAGGAGGGTTTTCGTGGGCCTCTCTGGCTGTTCCTTGGGGGCTGTCTTGGGCCATCTTGAGCCACCGTAGGGCAATTTTTCTGGTTGGCCCAGAAGGGGGTCCAGCGAAAAGAGGGTGGTGCTATAGATTTGGTGCAAAAGATTTGTGGGGTTGCGATAGATTTGGGTCGTGCCATGCATTCCGGTGCGCAAATGTATTGCTGGATGTTCTCGCTCGCTATACACGAGTTGCAATGCAATGCAGTACACTTCTCCGGCGCAGTACATTTGCAATACAATTGCCCCACGTATAGTGATTGCGCCACCCCTGTTCAGCTGGACCCCCTTGTGGGTCAACCACAGTCTTAAGGGTCCTCTCGGGGCTGTCTTGGAACCGTCTTCGGTCCTGCATGGCGCGGGGCCCGCTGCCGGGCCGCTCCTGGGCCCTCCTGGGGACTGTCTTGGAGGCCTCCCGGGGCCGTCTCGGGGGGAGGGGGAGCACGGGCCCTCGCAGGGGCCCTGTTGTGGCCCTCTTGGAGCCGCCTCGGGGACCCAGCCCGCACAGGCAGGAACCTCACCGCCAGGGAAAAGACATGTGTTGTCTAATGATCATGACCCTCCTCCTCATCCTCCTCCTCCTCCTTCTCCTCCTCCTCGTCAACCCCCTTCTCCTCCTCCTCCTCCTCCTCCTCCTCCTCCTCCTCCTCCTCCTTCTCCTCCTCCGCCTCTCCTTCCCTTCTATGGAAGGGATACAGTCAACCCGCATGAAAAGGATGGGCAACCTTCCCAAGGGTACCCCTGCATCCCAGCCTCCTGGTTCCACCCTTGGCCACTGTCGTTGGCTGCGCCCCGCTCGAAAAGCTTCGAAGTGGGCGTCCAAGGCCCTTGCACCCTTGCATCCTTCTAGCGCATCCTTATGATACGGGCCGACTGTAGTCACCTACTCTCTGGGCCGTCGGTGAAGTCCGTTGGGCTGTCTTGGGCCGCCTTGGGCCACCTTTGGGCCAGCATGGGGCCCGACATGGCTGGACCTAGACGCTGTTTTGCTGGACTCCGGCTGTGTCTTGTGCTTTGTTTTCTTGCAGGTAGGTACGGGAAAACAGGTAGAGCCAAACGACAAGCAAAACGAACAAAACAACGAAAAACAACGTTCAGGTCCAGCCCCGGGGCCCGACACGCTCTGACTCGCGCGCTTGCTGCGCCCTTCGCGTGGCCGTCGCCCGCTCGTTGGGGCCAGGCTGCCGCTGCGACCAGCGGGCCCTGGCGCCCTGCGTGCACTGCGTGGGGGGCGGTGGCCCGCCTTCCGCTCGGCAGGGCCGAGGACCGGCGCCTTCCCTCGGCAGGGCCGCCGAGGAGGGGGCGTCGAGGTGGTCCAAGGCCTCGCCGGTTCAGCCGACGAAGATGTGGAGCGTCCATCCCTGCGCTTCGCAACGCAATCGTTTGCTTATTCACTGTTTTGGCGATCGGCGTGGGCCCTCGCACCCCGCACCCCCCCCCCCTATGGAGTGGATCTTGGCTGTTTTTGGCGCCTGCTTCGAGCAGGTGGAGTCCCTCCCCCATAGGACGCACTCTCGCAAACAGTCGCACTAAGCAGAGGTCTGGAGCCAGACCACCCCCCCTCCCTCCCTTCGCCGAATAAGAAAACGCCGAATGTCGAAACGCCGAATAAGAAAACGCCCACAATGTGCGCAAAGTTGTGGCTTGACGCTGGGTGTGGTGCGCAGGTTGGTTGCGCCCCTCGAGGTCCGTGTGGGGTGTTCTGCAGACCTGACCCCCCGGACCGACGCAAAGTCCCGGTCATCCCATCCCATAAGCTGCCAGCGGATCATCCTGCCGGCCCGTCCGGCAGAGTTTCAGGAGGGACAAAGAACACACGAGACACAATTAATCGTCGATCCCCCAGAAAATATAGGAAAATATGGGAAGTGGGGGGGGAAGACGAAAATAAAAAAATGTAAAAATATGGGGAATCGTTTTATTTGTGTGTATTTATTTGTGTGTCCCTGGGCCCCTTCAGGGATGCAAACCCAGCCCAGAGATCCGAGGCTACGAGAAAATTGGAGCGGCTCAAGATCACGAGAGAGGCAGTGTGCTCTCGTGAATGGCTGTTCTCATGCGGGGGGAAACCTGGGGCTCGAGTGCGCCGGATTCGGGTTTTCCGACGCTGCTTGACGAGGGCGTCCTGGTTTTTGACGGTCCAGTCTTCGTAGGACGTTTGCAGCGGAGTTCGAGTCAAATTCCAGATTGGGCCTCGTCATTTTCGTGATGGCCCCGTCAGGCCAACCCGGGTCCTCCGAACCCGAGTTTTTCGTCTCCCCGATCATTGGCATTCATTTCATGTGCAGCAGCATGCTTTCCCCCAGGGCCGCCCTCGCGTGCGCGAGCTATATATCCAACACGCTCCGACCTGAGCTACTTGTGCGAGGGATCTAGCACGCATCTGGCCCGCTGGGCTGGCGAGTTGTGGGCTCTGTTTCAGCAGCTGTTCGTGATCATGTCCCTGCCCTTGCACTAGCTAGTTCCCCTCGTGAAGACGGCGAGCCAAGCCGTCGCAGCCACGCTGCTCGGAAGCCCCCGGGCCCTCTGAGAGAACCCGCTCCTTCTGAGCAGTTTCCTGTGCCTTCGGGGAAGGCTTAGAAAAAGCGTCTCAGAGAACTGGGGGACTTCCTGGCCTCCTGAGAAGGCCTTCTCCTTCTCGCTTTACCCCACTCGCTCGCCGCCGATGGGTCGCAGGCTCGCTGATTTGAGCGATTCCGTCGAGCAACGCAGGGATGCCGCGAAGCCTGGCTGCGCACGAGGAATCGAGGAGGAGGTGCGCGACGGCCGCAGAGGCGGAGGAAACGTGGGGCGGCCCCCTGAGGTCATGCCCGTCTTGCAGCGGCATGTTGCGGCCCAGGCTTTGGCGGAGTAGCCATCGGTCGTGTAAATAGGTTTTTGTTGAATTTCCAGATTCCAATCTACTTTAAGCGCCTTCCTACTTCAATGATCGAGTGGCTTCACCTTTTCCGTTCTCCTCAGGAGGTGGACGGAACCCGATCTATTTCCAACGCTTTCCTATTTCATGTTTCTACCTACTCTTCCGACCGATCACTCACTCAAGCCATACGTCCAGCAGGGCGCGTCGGCACGACAACCACACTGGGTCATCACAAAGAAAGCAGGATTCGCGGGTGTGTGTGTGTGTGCGTGCGGCGTAGAGCAACGGGGTGAAAGGCGAGGGGGAGGGAAGGAGGGACCGACCGATGGGTCTTGAGCCGACCGATGGGTACTGCAAATCTGGGCGTCCAAATTTGGGCGCGTCCAGGTTCGGGATCCCGCAGTGGGGGGGCGTGCCCCGGGGTGTGTGTGAGTTCGCTCGGCTTCTGCAGCGAGCTGCCCAAAACAGATGCTTCCCAGCCGGTGGTTCCCGGTAGTTGCCAATAGGTGGGGCATGCGGGGGGTATTTGCGTGCTGCAGGTCGGTGCACCAGCGGATCGGGCTCATGCCCCCCCTCAGGGTCGCTCCCTTTTGGTGGATCCCGATAGGTGCCCCAGAGAAAGAAAGCGCAAACGCCCAAAGCAGCATTATACATTCCAGCAGCAGCCAGCAAGCGGTGCCAGCCGCGCCAGCAGGTCGACCTGCCCGCGAAGATCCTCTACGGCAAGATGAAGCCGCGCCCCTATGGCCCGAAGGCGGACGTGTGGAGCCTGGGGGCGGTGCTGTACCAGATGGTTCGGGGGGGGCTCTTCTCGAAGTAGAAACATTTGTGTATGCATGTATATACATACATATGTATAAACATGTACGCATACACGTATACCTATACATCTATATGCATGGTTTGGTATATGTTTGTATATCTGCATGCATATTTGCATACACACAAGTAAATAGGCACGTCAGTGTGTATGTATGCATGCACGTACGTATGCATGTATGTGCCCACTATACTTGTATACATGTATGTCTGCATGTCTGTGTGTGGATGCGTATATGTGTTACTGTGTGTATGATTGTGTGTACGTATGTGTGCATGTGCGTATGCTTGTCTGTCTGTTTGCCTTCCTGTCTGTCTGTATGAATGCATGCACACATGCATGTATGTATGTATCCGTGTGCATGTATGTATGCATGTATGTATGTATGTACGTACGTGTGTATATGTCTTTCTGTATGTGTGTGTGTGTGTGTGCCTGCCTGTATGTCTGTCTGCCTGCCTGCCTGCCTGCCTGCCTGTCTGTCTGTGTCTGTCTGTCTGTCTGTCTGTCTGTCTATCGTTATGTCTATATGTTTGTCTGTCGGTCTTTCTGTCTGTATGTAGGTAGGTAGGTAGGTAACTAGATGTATGGATGTATGGATGTCTGTATGTATGCATGTGCGTATGCACGTATTCATGCATTCATGTTGTCATGCGTTAATGTATGAGTACGTCTCATGCCATGCCGCGTCATGCCATGCCATGCCATGCCATGCCATGCCATGCCATGCCATGTACTGCATACACGTTGTTAGTATGGGCGTGTAACACATGCATATCACATGTGATATACATGCTTGGCAAACCGATCGTGTCGGGGCCGAGTTGATGAGCCCCCGAGGGGGGGTGCTCTATACAGGCGCCGCCTCAGCCCCGGAGCCAAACCCAGAAGTGATGAGGCGGCGAGATGGCCTGGGAGCGGCACGTGCCCCCCATCCTCCCTCTGAGGGGAAGAGCACCCCTGGCGACGGCTGTCTTGTCAAGGGGAGGACAGGGGGAGGAAGAGAAAGGGCATTGTGGACAGCAGGAAGCAGACGGGAGGGGGAGGGGGTATCAAATGGCACGTTGCCGTTGGCAGCGTGCCAGCGCGTTGCCCGTCCGTCGTTGTCCGGAGGCCTGGCGCGTTCCTTCAACAGCGGCATGCTGACATGTTTCCCACGGCGGTGTGTCTTTGCTACTGTTCTTGCTCCCCGAGAAGGGGGCATGGCGAGAGGGGAAGCTCGTCCTCCTCCTCCTCGTCCTCCTTCTTCTCCTCCTTCCACTTTGCGCCCCCTCCCCCCCGACTTAATCCACCAGTGCTCGCGGGGGAGAGGGGAAGGTGGGTCAGGGGAGAGCGGGGGGAGGGGAAGAGGGGGTTGGGAGCAACCGCAGCACCTTCGGCCAATATAGCGCAGCAGCCGGTGCCAGCGAGAGAGAGAGAGAGAGAGTTCTTGCTCATTGGGCACGAAGGTTTTTCTAGTCGCGACCGACGAGGTCGGTCGCTGCAGTTTGAGCCTCAAAATCTGGGATCTGCCGCGGCCGATTCGGAGTGCCGATCCTTCGCCACCGATCGCGACTGAAAAAGTCTGGCACCCAATGGGCTGGGGTGCTCGGGGCAGGAGGGGGACAATGGAGAGGAAGGGGAGCGCTGCAGGTCACCGGCAAGCCCCTCGCCACGAGCGAGCCCGCCGTCCTGGCCGGCAGGTATGAGCCCGCGGCCGGCATCTCGCAGCAGTTGGCCGGACTGCTGGGCAGGACGCGGCAGGGCTGCACACACCTGCGCCGGAGGTAAGTCGGGCGTGTCCCTCTACAGGAGGGATATCCAAAATTAGTCAAACATAGTATGGGGACGATGTTGTCGACTCCTTGGGATCATGCGGGGGCATTTTTGTCAGTATGAGTTTTCTTTCCGTTCCTCCGAGATCCGTCTGTTACAGGAAGACACGCCCAGCTTCACGCTGGGTGCTCCCCGCTTTTCCCCGCGCAGGGCCCCTCTCCCTTCCTTCCTTCCCGTCGAAGAAGAAGACGAAGAAGACGACGGAGAAGACGACGAAGAAGACGAAGAACTGTACACGCAGTTTGTTGGGGGCCGCCGCGGGGCACGCCGGGCCCGAAGGTTGGGCGCGGCAGGAGAGACGGGCGGGCGCGAAGGAGGGGCAGGCGGCCCCGCGGGCGGCGCCGCGCGCGCGGAGACCGCGAGGACCTCTCTCGCGCGCGCGCGCCAGAGCGCGGGCATGCACGGGCAGCAGGCTGCTCCTCCTCCTCCTCCTCCTCCTCCACTTGCCTCCTCCTCCTCCTCTTCCACTTGCCTCCTCCTCCTCCTCCTCCTCCTCCGCGGGTGCCAGAGCGCGGGCATGCACGGGCAGCAGGCTGGGCGTGGCGAGGCGAACCTGCGCATGGTAGATTAGGGGAACGAACAAGGACAAAAACATGAAAGCTCGGAGGTCGGCGAGGATTTCTCGGATCGGCGCTGGGCCCCCTTGGCGGCACCTCCGGCGCCGCCCCTGGCGCGCTCCGCGCGCCAGGGAGGGGGGTCCAGCACGGATCCAAGAAATCCGCGCGGACCTCTGGGGTTTTATGTTTATGTCATTGCTTGTTTCGTTTGCCTAAGGTTCGCGTCGTGTCGACCGCTGGCGACCCCGCCGCTGGCGCTCAGCCTTGCACGCCGCCGGCGACCCAGAGTCGGTCGATGTGGAACGAGCTGACGTTTCGGCAGCGGCCGATCGTTCTGCAGGGTGGAGCGATCCCCACGCCGCGTCGGGAGCCACAGCGCCGGGGCCGGCACAGCAGGAGCCTGCCGTGCCAGGGTGCGGCAGGGCGAGCTTGCGAACCCTTCATCGGAGAGTTGGCCCTCCCACTGGCAGGAAAAGGAGCCTCGGACACCTCGCGAAACCTCTAAACATAAACCTCGAGGAGGGGGAGGGGGAGGGTTCTTGGGGCGCTCTTGGAGCTCTCTTGGAGGCCTCTTGGGAGCCATGGAGGGCCTCCTGGTGCCATCTTGAAGGCGGTCGGTCAAAAGAGGGGGGGGTCCTCGATGTCTGCCCCCCCCCCCCTCGGGGGCACCGATCCTCGTGAGGGGTGTCAGCAATTGGCCCTCCCACTGGCCGAAAAAGGACCCTCTGACTGGGTAGTCGAAGGCCAGACTGTCAGATTGGATTGGGCCCCAAGGGCCAATCTGGCCCGGCCAAACTGGATGATTTGGGTTATTCGCCAGACTGGATTCGCGTTGGCTCCCTCGCCAGATTGCCCCCGTTTGCCAGATTGGGCCTGCCAGATTGGCGCCAGATTGGCTTCGACTACCCAGTCTGACCCATCGGTCCCCCTCCCAAAATCACCAGGGAGGGGAGGGGGCCTCCCTCCCCGAAGGGCAGAGGGGTTGTGGAAGGGGAAAGAGACCCTCCTTAGACCACCTGTCGTCCAGAGGGCTGGTGGGATTGGGTCCGCGCGGACGTCTCGAATCGGCGCTGGGCCCCCCTGACGTCGCCTCGGGCGTCGCCCTTGGCGCGCTCCGCGCGCCAGTCGTTGGGGGGTCCAGCGCCGATCCAAGAAATCAGCGCGGACCGCCGAAAGTGCATGTTTACGCAGTTGTGTGTTCTTATTGCGAAGGCCTGACGGCCTGTGCCGCCGACCCTGAAGCGGACCACGACGTCGGCGACGACGTGGGCGGAGACGGAGGCCGTGGAAGATGAGGAGGAGGAGGAGGAGGAGGAGGCGAGGAGGAGGAGGAGGTTCCTTATTTCCCCATCCTCCTTGAGTTGCCGCCGCACGACGTCGAGAGGGTCGGAGGTCCGAGGGAGGCCATACAGCTGCGGGCAACGGCGATGTGACCCCAGGAGGAGAGGGGAAACAGGAAGTGGCACGGGCAGGAGCAGGAAGAGGGCGGTGGGGGGAAGGGGCAGCCGGTGGGAGGAAGAACTGGGAGGAGGAAAAGGCGGAACAGGTTTGGGAGGAGGCAGAGGAAGAGGGCGAGGAGCATGACGAGGAGAAGGAGAGGGATGATGATGATGAGGAGGAGGAGGAGGCGGAGGAGGGGGAGGAGGAGGAGGAGGAGGAGGAGGAGGAGGAGGAGGAGGAGGAGGAGGAGGCGGAGGAGGAGGAGGAGGAGGAGGCAGAGGAGGAGGAGGAGGAGGAGGCGGAGGAGGAGGAGGAGGAGGAGTTGGAGAAGGAGAAGGAGAGGGAGGCGGAGGAAGACCGGGAAAGGGAGGGTGGTGGTGAACGGTGGTCTTGCAGTTAATGCGTGCTCACATCACGTCAAGCGGCCTGAAAACTCTTTGAGAGGCAAGGATGCTTCAGAGAAATCTCAAACCAGAATTTGAATTCAAGACGGCCTGCACATGGAGCGACTCTCTTGTGTCGTCTCTCTCTGGTCGCCTCACGATTCGCCTGAATACGTGCTTCCATCTCACCCGTGAGGATCACTGACTGAGGAGGAGGAGGAGGAGGAGGAGGAGGAGGAGGGGCGAGGAGCGAGGAGCGAGGAGGGAGGAAGAGTAGGAGTATGGAGAAGGAGAAGGAGGAGGAGGAGGAGGAGGAGGAGGAGGAGGAGGAGGATGGAGGAGGGCGTGCTCCCCCGAAGGATGCTGGTGGTGGACCCCTCCAGCAGGGAGCGGGGGTGGGAGGGCCAGCCGCCGCCGCCGCCGCCGCCGCCGACGCTTGGGGGGAACGGATGGTCCGCGTGGGGACCAGCGAAGTTCCATTGAGGGAGTAGGGGAACAACAAGTGGCATAAACAACTCGGAGGTCCGCGCGGATTTCTCGGATCGGCGCTGGGACCCCGTGGCGGCGCCTCCGGCGCCGCCCCTGGCGCGCTCCGCGCGCCAGGGAGGGGGGCCCAGCACGGATCCAAGAAATCCGCGCGGACCTCCGAGTTTTTATGTTTATGTCACTTTTTGTTCCCCTAGGGAGGGAGCAGGATCAGATCAGCAGCGAAAGAAGCACGCACACGTAGGCGAATCCACGTGGCTTTCAAGAGTGCGCACTGCGCCAACGTTCACATCACGCGGCCCGTCTCGCGGATCGGAGGGCTGTGTTCGTGTACATGCTTGGGCGCGTACGTTTTGTCTGGGCTCACTCTTGATCGAGGGAGGGAGCAGGATCTCCGTGGGCCCCAGAAACGGCAGGCCGTTTTTCACCGTTTCCGAAAAAGCGCCTCTTGAAAGTGGAAGCGGTAAAAAGACGGGAACCGGAAGCGGCAAAAATTGCTCCAGAATCGGAGTTGGAGCCGTAATCGGCAAACCAACGGCGACGGAACCAGAAAACGAACTTCGCTGGAACAGGCACACACAAAACGATAGAACGAAATCCGTAAAAAGACGGTCTTGTCGTTTCCAGGGCCTACTACAATAAGAGAAGGCTGACCTCAAAAGCGAAGCAATGGCATAAGCATGACTCTCCAGAGATCCGCGCGGACTCGGATGGGCGCTGTGGTCCTGCTGGCGGCGCCGCCCCAGGCGCCGCCCCGGGCGCACTCCGCGTGCCAGGGAGGAGGTTTTAAGCGCTGATCCAAGAAATCCGCGCGGACTTTCGAGAAGGTTTCTGTTCCTCAGAGGCCAGCAACATATGTACACGTACGCGGTTAGCTTCCCCTGGAGGGCGTTTGAATGAGGACGTTCGTGCACTCAAGATCGCGGAGGGCGTACATGTACATATGTCGTTGCTCGCTCAGTTCCTGCTCTTCTTGCCCCTCTGCGTGAAAAGTGGTGTCACGGGTGGGGTCTCGTCGACGCCGATCACGGCCAGCGTCCGTGCCGGACGTCGCAGGCTCGCGAGGATGATCCACGAGTTGACGACGGCCAGGGTGGACGACGACGAACATCGGATCCCTGCCCTCCTGCATATCTCTTCCCTCTTCCTCTTTCTCCTACATCTCTCCTCCTCTTCCTCCTCCTCCTCCTCCTCCTCTCTCTTCCTCCTCCTCCTCCTCCCCTCCTCCGCTTCCTCCTCCTCCTCCTCAGCCTCTGTCATGGTCATCATTTTTGTTTCCCTCCAGGTTGATGAGCTTGGAGCGCAAGCGGCGCGGGGCTTCGGCCATGACGCGGGTCGGCCAGCCCCGTCTGATCCCCTCTGGGCGCCCTTGGCTTTTGGAGCCCCGCGGGGCCGATCCTCCTCCCGCTCCCGTCCCACCGCTGACGTGGGGTCGGAATCTTCTCCGCGGCCGGTTCAGGGTCCTCGCGGCGTGGTTCTTCAAACAGTGGCGAAGCGTCCCGGCTCGCCTATAGCCCCGCCAAACAAGGTTCTAAGAAGTTTTCGTAGTTCCCACGAAATGTTCTTAGAACATTTCTGGCGGAGTCTGTACTGTTTCAGCACATCGGGTTTATGCTATAAGAACATCGTTTTTGTTCTCAGACCATTTTTGGTTTCTAAGAACATTTCGTGGTAGGACTATAGGAATGCCGGGACGGTCGGTCCCTGGTCAAGTTCTGGCTGGCTCCGCTTAGCGCTGACCCCTGTGAGCGCACCCGTGAAGGAGGAGGAGCGTTCGGTAGCAGCTCGAGGGAGCCTTGCATGGCGCAATTCTGTGTTCGGTCTGCACTGGGCATGTGCTAGCGTCTGGTCAGCGCCAATCCAGCGTCGACTGGCAGGACTTGGCGTTGATTTAGCGTTGATTCAGCGTCGACTGGCATCGTCTAGTGTCGATTTGCAAAAGCCAGCAAGACGACATGGGAGGCTCCAGTGAGGTGCCGCAGAAGGAGCGGAAGTGGGGCGGAGCATAGTGCGGAAGCGGGGCACATTTCTGGCAGGCAGGCATGGGGCAGTTGAAGTTTGCATCCCCGGTGGACTGAACGTTTGCTGTCCACACTTCTGGTTATTCCACGCCTCTCCCTCTCCCAGTCTTCCCTCGCCTCCTATTTCCTCTCTCATCCGTTCTCGTCTTCTGTGGTTATCCTGCTTTCCTGGCTCATCCCGTGTCCCCCTAGTCAGCACGTGTTTTCTGTTCCTCACCTCCTTCCCTTCTCCGTCCTCTCTCCTCCGCGTCTCCCTCGTCCTCCTCGCCCGGCCGCCTGGGGGAGGCCACCTTGCAGGAGGTGATGACGCACCCGTGGGTGCAGTGAGCAGCTCTTGTTCCCGCTCGCGCTCCAGCGCTTTTGTCTCTGGCTCCTCCTCCTCGTTGTGCCCCGCAGCCAGATCGCGCGACCAGCAGGGCGAGCGCCGAGTCGCCGCGACAGCAGATCCCGCATTCAGACGAGGCGAGCGCCGCTCCCGGCCGCCCCTGTTGATCGTTCCAGTGCGCACCTGGTATATCCCCGTCGGGAGTCGGGAGGGGGACGAGGGGCAGGGGGAGCATCAGGAGGTAGGAGCCGATGCCTTCGGTAACCGTAGGCCTCCGATAAGAAACCAGGCGATCGCAAACATGGATTGTAAGGGGGCGTGGATTAGCGACGGGTCTCGTTTTCACGAGAACTTGCGGATTTCCGCCGCCGAGCGAGGCGGCAGCGGCCGCAATTTGGGGGAGGGCACCTCCCCCGATTCATGCTTGGGCGCCCCTGAATAAAGCATACCCCCCTGCCCACCAACCTCATGCTTGTCTCCGACCAGGGCTCTTTTGGTTGGCGGTGATGAGCGGCGGGTCCGATCTTCATTAGCACCAGGGAGAGCAGTAGACCGAATCTTCTCACCATGAGTAGCCGTATCACTAGAATAAGCATCGTATTATACATCTTACACGACTACCACGACTTCTAGCTTTTAGTATTTGTACTACTACCATTAGTTGTGTCACTATTATTACGACTCGCAAGTACTACTACTACTACTACTACTACTACTACTACTACTATGACTACTAGCGAGTAGCGAGTAGGGCTAGTGAGTAGTGAACAGGGAGTAGTCAGGAGTTAGTAGTGAGTAGGGAGTAGCGCGTAAAGAGTAGGGAGTAGCGAGTAGTGAGTAGTGAGCTGTGAGTAGGGAGTAGTGAGTAGTGAGAAGCGAGAGGCGGGTCTTGAGTAGCCGGTAATAAGTAGGGACTAGCGAGTAGAAGTTATTGAGTAGTGAGTCGTGAGTAGTGAGTGGCCACTTGCGACTAGCGAGTAGGGCGTATGGAGTAGTGAGTAGTGAGTAACGAGTAGTGCGTAGTGGGTGTGCATAAGTGCGTATTGGGTAGCGAGTAGCGGATAGTGAGTAGTGAGTTCTGGGCAGTGCGCAGTGAGTAGTGAATTGTGAGTTATCAGTAATCAGTAGTGGAAAGTGGTTCGTGGGTAGGGAGTAGTGCTTAGTGAGTAGTGAGTCATGGGCAGTGCGCAGGGAGTAGTGAATTGTGAGTTATCAGTAGTGAGTGGTGGAAAGTGGACCGTGGGTAGGGAGTAGTGCTTAGTGAGTAGTGAGTAGCGGGCAGTGAGTAGTGTAGTAGTGAGTAGTGAGTATTGAGTACTGGGTAGGGAGTAATGACTTGTGGGTTGGGAGTAGTGAGTATGGAGCAGGAAGTAGTGAGTAGTGAGTACTTGGAGCGTAGTTAGTAGCGTGTAGTGAATAGTGCGTATTGGGTAGCGAGAAGGGCGTAGGGAGTAGCGAGTAGTGATTAGTGATTAGTGAGTACCGTGCAGGGAGCAGGGAGTAGCGAGTAGTGGATAGTGAGTAGTGAGTTGTGGGCAGCGAGTGGAGTAGTGAAGTGTGAGTAGTGAGTAGTGGATAGTGGGTAGTGAGTAGTGATTTGTGATTTGCGAGTAGTAGGTAGTGAGGTGATTAGTGGTTAGTGAGTAGTGGACAGTGGGTACTGTAGTGAGTAGTCTGTAGTGAGTAGTGAGTAGTGGGTAGGGAGTAGAGAGTAGTGAGTAGTGCATCGTGGGTAAGGAGTTGTGTATAGTGAGTAGTTAGTCGTGAGTAGTGAGCAGTGAGTAGTGCCTAGTGGATTGTGGGTAGTGAGTAGTGCGTAATGAGTAGTGAGTGCTGTTTGGGGCCAGGGTTTGGGTTTGGGGTTAGGGTTCTGGGGTTAGGGCAAGGGTGAGGACTAGTGTTAGGGGTGGCAGGGGTCGGGTTCCGGAGACCGGGGGCGCCGTGGCGAAAGGGGGGGAGGGGGGGGCTCGAATTTGGCGGCCAAAGGGGGGAGGGGGGGGGGTCGGACCCCCCCCCCTTTTGAAAGCGGGGAGGGCGGGGGGTCCCCGACGACGGACAGGGAAAGGGGGGGGTCCCCAAGGACGGATCGGGAAATAAGGGGAGGGGGGTGGTCCCCGACGACGGATCGGGGAAAGGGGGAGGGGTCCCACCCCCCCCCCCCCATCCAGACACACCTTGGGGTCATCCAGCGGCGCGCCCTCTCAATGTTGTGGTCGCAGGATTTGGAGAGGCTTCTGACCTGTCACTACGCAGTAACAACGCCCTGACAGGTGTCGGCGGATCATCTCCTATTTTGATCATTTTTATTTTTCGGAACGCAGGGCGTGGACTGGCTGACCGGAGATGTGCGCGGGAGGCAAAACAGACGAAGGATCTATATGGCGCATGGTTGGTATTGGCACGTGCCTTTTGAGATCGTGCGCAAGTTCGCTGGCTTGGATGTGTCTGATAAAGCCCGCTTTGGAAAACCCCTGTGGTGAGTGAGCGGTATGGGAACAGTGCGCGGTGCAGACTGCATCAGAACAGTGCGCAGAGTAATATATGAGTTGTCGGGAACGGACGGGGAGCAGACCGAAGGTCAAGGCGACCATGCGCACAGGCCGCCGGCACAGGAGAAGGAGGCACGAGGAAGATCTGGAGGAAGCAAGAGTCCCACACCGCACCCAATCTTGACGATTCCGAGGTCGGCAGGTGCCAGCTGGCCTCTAACCATGTCCATTCGAGTGTCTCGCAGTCTCGCAAGAATGCACGATCCATGGTCTTCTGTGCAACGCTGAGCATCCCCCACCAGCGTTGTCGCAACTCTGGCAACAAGGCCTCCCGTACTCGTTGGCGCATCTTGCGTTTAAAGTAGGTTTTCAGCGTTGGGTTCACCATTTGATATCACACCGCTTACGCCGTGCGTTTATACTTCTGGTGATACCTATGTCCTTTCGATGTGAATTCCCTGTAGGTGACAGTTGTTTCGTTTCTCGCAGCTGTTAACAGGCACACCCTATAATTGCTCACGACTGCTCCTGGAATCCAACTATGAGAATGGTGATCTTGCAGAGCAGTCATGAACACTGAGCCCCATCTTGTCTGCGTCAGGTTGAATCGCTGGGGTTCCTTCATATTGCCTGGGGTATGATCGTAACCCATTCCCTTAGCCAGCTCAATCTGCCAGTCAATCCGACCCAACCAGCCCACCAGCCCAACCAGGCACGCCGCCACCGAGCCAACCCGTCAGCCAACCACCCCAACCAGCCACCCCACCGCCCAGCCAACCCGCCACCCGCCCATCTCTGCTGCTTGCCCCCAGTCACCGCCGAGAAGAAGGGGGGAAAGTGTTTCTTATAAGCGGACAACGAGAGGCGATAAGGTTCAAATCGATGAAACCACTCCGAAGGTCGTCAATGTGATTCAGTAATGCCGGTATATCGGGGCGGTTCCGAGGGCTTCAAAACGGCCCAAGAGGCGCCCAGGTGGTCTGAGGATGTTCCCTTGAACCGAAGGAGAGTTCCAGTGCATTTGTTTGAGCGGTGTTTGTTTGGAATGCTTTCTGGGGGTGTTGGAGTCGGTTTTGGCGGGTTTGGCGTCCCAGAGGGACACGGGGAAAACGCCGCGAGTGCCCAGGAGCGCCTAGATTTGCGCCGTGAACTCCGGCAAATGAGCGGTATGGGTCCTGAGTAATGTTACAATCCCACTCATCCCATTCAGCCTCACATTTGAATTCGCTGTGGGACACTCCACAATGCTGCAGGCACGGTGGCGGGTCTTGGAAGACGTTGAGAACAGTAGTACAAGTGTGTGTATGCGTGCTTGTTGTGTTTATGTATGTGTGTGCTGCCAGATGCTGGTTGATTTCTTGTGGAGTCGTGGAAGACAACCCGCCATTATTCTATTCGTACTCTAGTGTGGTGCAAACGCGGATCTGCAACATAATGATTCAAGCCAGCCCGATCTCTTTGGTTCTCTCTCTCTCTGTCTCTTTCTCGTTCTCTCTTTCTCGTTATCTCTCTCTCTTTCTCTTCCTATCTCTACTTGTACATAGACACATATATACACATTGAAGCTGCTGGTAGATTTGATTGCCCAAATCAAAATCGCGAACCCGTTCGTTCGATGGAACCAGCGCCAGTTGTGCAATCCAAGCCGCGTGTGCGGGAACGGCGGGGAGGCATGGGCAGCAGAGCAGCGGGCGGTTGCCAGTGCAGCCGACGCCAGTCATACAGCAGACTCGCGCTGCGTTGACGCGGCGGCGACGCCCGCGCGGGCGTCCACGACTGAACGCCAGCGGCGGGCGGCGGCACGGAGTGACCACGTCGAACGACCCGCGCTGTCGGAAGGCCGCGATCCTTGCGCGTCGAGCGGTCCGCGCGGTGCCAGACGCCGACGGCGACGTCACGGCACGTCACGGCACCAGCCTTCGTCAGGACGACGGTTTTCCAAGGACGCTCTTGCACCTCCTGCCATTTTCGACTGCAGCCTCTTCGTCCGAAGGAGCACTAGTGTGCACTGCATCACCTCATGAGGTCAAATCCTGGAGGCTCGCGCGGCGCGTAATAGTTGTATTATCTAGTCCACACGTCAGCTCTGCAAGCTATGGGTCGACGCTCGCGCGGCGATGCTCTGGCGTCCGTCCGACGTACATCCGATGCAAGTCCGACGTAATTCCGACGTGACGCCGACGCAAATCCGACGTGGATCCGACGTAACTCGGGCCTCAAGTTGCCGCGCGAGTCCTCGAAGGATAGCAAAAAAGCCCTGGATTGCAAAAAAACCTGGATTCTCCTCATAAGCCTCATCCTCGGGTTTTTTTTGCAATCCTGGATTCTTTTTGCAATCCTCAAAAAGGGTTTTTTTTGCAATCCTGGATTCTCCTCATAAGCCTCTGCGTCCGAAGAAGCACGAGGATGCACCGCACCGCCCCATGCGGTCCCCGAAGAGTCCAAACGCGGCCCCCCAGCGCCTACCCGCGGGAACGGCGCGGAGGCCACGAGCCCCGTGGCCCCAGCGGGGCCTGCGGGGCCGGAGACCCGCCAGGCCAGGGGACGAGGGCGGCCTTGATCGGGTACTGCTAGAAGGTCGAGGAGGACCAGGACGAGGACGAGGACGAGGACGAGGACGAGGAGGAGGAGGAGGAGGAGGAGGAGGAGGAGGAGGAGGAGGGAGGAGGAAGAGGAGGAGGAGGAGGAAGGACGACAAGTTGGGTGCTGCTAGAAGTGTCCCTGGCCCAAGATGCCCCCAGGATTTCCGAGGAGGCCCCCAATGGCCTCCAGAGCACCCCTCACGAGGCCCAGATAGGGGGACGAAGAATGACATAAACATAAAATACCAGGGGTCCGCGCGGATTTCTCGGATCCGCGCTGGACCTCCTTGGCGGCGCCCACGGCGCTGCCCCTGGCGCGCTCCGCGTGCTAAGGAGGGGGGTCCAGCGCCGATCCGAGAAATCCGCGTGGACCTCCGAGTTATTATGTTTCAGTGTTCGTTCCCCTAGAGGAGGCCCTCAACGACCTCCAGAGCACCCCTCACGAGACCCAGAGGGCCACAGGGGCTCCAAGATCCAGCGAAAAGCTGGGGGCACCTTAGGCCAGGGGCACCGTTGATGAGTGAAACGTGAGACTCGAGTACGCTGGAACTCGGATTTGCCGACGTCTTTTTGACGGGCGCGTCCTGGATTTTGACGGTCCAGTTTTCGTGGGATTTTTGCAGCGGGGGCCCGCGTCAAATTCCAGATTGGGCTTCGTCATTTTCTTGATGGCCCCGAGTCCCCCGAACCCGAGTTTGCACGCCCATCCGACTTGTAGCAACCCTGAACTTGACGCCCAGGCTGTGTTACGGCAGGTTTGCGTCGTGCCGACCGGCGGCGACACCACCGCGTGCGTTTGAGGTTGAACGCCGCCCGTGGCCCAGAGTGGGCCCGTCGTTGAACGATCTGGCGTTCACGGAACGTCCGATCGTTCGAGTCTGAACGATCCCCTTGGTGTCAGGAACCGATGCCGGGGTCGACACGACGCGAATTTGCCGTAGAAGGTTTCTCCGCCTCGCGCTCGCCGCGCGCGCGCGCTCCGCGAGCGAGCCGAGGGGGGGGTTCTGGGCCGCGTCCTTGGTCGCCGCCTCCCGCGCGGCTCCTGCGCCCCTTTGTTTTCGGACGCCTGTGCAGGACCGGGTGGCCGGGTGCTGGTGCGGTGGCAGGGCTCATTTCGATTTCTCCGATAGGATCCGATTCGATTTCGATGGTTTTCGATTCCGGTTCGACTCGATTTCGAATTCCGATTTGGCATCCGAGTTCTCAATGGAGGCCTACCAGCCTGCCGATTTCCGCCGATTCGACTTGTCCCGACTTGGCTGCGGATTTCCACCGATCCGATTCATTTCGATCGCCGGTCCCACTTATCGATTCGATTCTCGGCTCTCCTGCAGTTGCTCGGGCGGGTGGCCTACATGTGTCGGTGGTTCACAGATGGGGTCTTGAGGGATGGGGTCCTAAGGACGAGGTGCCTCAAACAACGTAAGTCCACCCTGGGGCCCCTATCTATCATTCGGGCCCCATCCCTCAGGACCTCATCTTTGAAGCATCGAATTTGGTGTGAAGAAGAGGGGGGGACCCAAATGAAGGTGGCCTAAATGGCGGGGGGGGAGTTACCTGGTTGGTGCAAAGGGGCCCGAGAGGGCACCCTTAGGGCCTTTCTCCACCCTAGGTTACCCTCCATGGATATCCGCCCGAGTGCCGGGGAGACGTACGACTCGAGTTCGCTGGACGTCGGCTTCGCCGACGTTTTTTGTCAAGAGCCCGTCTCGAGTTTTGACGGCCCTGTTTCCAGCGATGTCGGCAGCGGGAGTTCACGCCAGGTTTCAGACGGGGCTTTGGGTCTCGTCGTTGTCTTGACGGCCCCGTCGGTCCCCCGAGCCCGAGACTTGGATCTCCCCGAAGGTCGTGGCCCGAGGGGCCAGGGGCAACGCCAGGGGAGGGTCGGATCAGGAGGTACAGTGTTGGCAACTCCTCCTCCTCCTCCTCCTCCTCCTCCTCCTCCTCCTCCTCCTCCTCTTCCTCCTCCTCCTCCTCCTCCTCCTCCTCCCTCCGCCCTCCTCCTTCTCCTCCTCCTCCTCCTCCTCCTCCTCCTCCTCCTCCTGACGTGGGTCCTGGTCGGCCTTCCAGTCTCGGGGTGCCTTCCGGCGGCTGCACCTCGCGGGCACTGTTCTGGCGGTGCTCGGACCGTCCCGGGGGGGCCCGCGGAGGCCCGCGGAGATGGCCCGAGAGCCACCGGGGGACGGGGATGGGCTCCGGGGGGACGCGCCCACCCCCAATTCGGGACGCCCGACATGGGTACGGAAAGAATGGGTACGATGCCCAACACCAGTTCCTGTTCATTTTGAACAGGAC